TAAAACACGTTAGTAAATCTGTTTGAAATGGCGTTCGTCACACATATATTTGAATACTGCAGATTTGACAATATTATACATAAAAAAACATAAATTTGAGTATGAATGTGAGTGTTAGTGTTAGTGATTTGTTTTCTCTTTTGTCTTAATATAGCCCACGTCTTACGTACACAACTTTATGCACTGAATCCCTTGTACCAATAGGAGGCGAACAGTATTAGCCATTGTAGGATATTGAAGTGTACATTATACGATACACCCAATACGCCCGCGGTCTGTGTATCGACGCCGATCATGTTCAATGTGAGCTTGAATAACCAACTGGACATCAGTATGAGTACGGGCATATAATGCCAGAACTTAGACCCTGGGCTGCTGCGCACCACTATGAACGGTGGCAGATTCTCGTCCCAACGGATTCGATTGTTGTGCAGTCCATCGCCGGCGCCAAGCATCGCACTGTGTTGTTGGAGCTCGCGGGTTAAGGCCATTCGTTGCAATATATTTAATTCGAGTGTTCCGATTCTGTTGCGTGGCTCGTTTAGGTGTTCCGGAACGGCTGCATCGCCAGCTGTCTGTGGTAAGAATACATCCAAAATATGCTCGTTCGGCAGATCCATGATGTCGAAATTCTCTAAGAAAAAATTTTACTACTAAAAAGAATTTTTTTTTTTTAAGTTCTCTCAATCAGCTGTCGAATTCAATCTGACAATTGACACAAATCTGATATATATGTGACCATACCGATTTTGGTTAACTTGTTGTGAGGGAATATAATTTATTTATTTATTTTAATTATTAATTTAATTTTAATATTGATTTATTTAATTAAAGCCAAAATGATCATATATTCTTTAAATAAATGCTAACAAAATTATAAAAAAAAATTAAGAGAAATATATGCACTTACTCACGTTTTCTATTAAAAAATTCAAAAAAATATTTAACAAATATATATTTAAAATCAATAATGCATAAGATCTTTAACCGAAGGAGTAAAGTCGAGGGCTTGTTAGAATGAATACATTTTTAAATTTTATAAATAAAAATATTATTTTGTTTGTTTTTTGTCAAGATAATATATATATACATATGTTTTTAAAAAATAAAATAAAAATATTATTGATAAATCAAGAGCTGAGCCAAATATACTCTTTTGTTTGAACCAAATGAAACATATATTTTTTATCTAGAAATATTTTTTCAAATTAATGGATTTTACATGTAATATACTTTCA